AAGCTTAGTGCATCAAATCTACATATTTTTATGAGAGGAATGCAGAATGAAAAAGTAGCATCTTACAATACAAGTGTGTTTTCTCGATGGATGAATATCAATGGAGTGTACAATCCCAGAAGTAGTTCCACGAGCCCTGCAACATTATTAATATGAAGAATCACATCTCATCACAACAAAAACTAACCATGAAAAATAAAAAATAAATTGCTTCTACTCAGATGGACAGAGCTGAACCCAACTGTCAAAATATGCAGCTAAGATAGTGCAAACAAAACCAAAATAAACAATGAATTTAGAAGCATAATAGAAACTCATCTAAGAAAATGACTAATACCACTTAAGAACACATTAAGCTTCAAGAAATTCCTACATTGGTATGTTCAAATTATCAACAAATATGCACTCCTCATGATCCTTGCATGTGAAGTGTATCACCATCCATCTTTTCTCTTTTGTTTATTTTCCCAAAATCATTACTTTATTTGATAAGAAGCAGATTTTATCAGAACATATAGGAAATAGGTCCCCTTAACACATTAGAGCACAAAAAAAAAAAAACTGATTTCAGTTCAAATGAATAATATTATGGCTCCAAAAAGAAAATAAAAATAAAGTCTGAAATGAAAAAGAAATAAATAAGTAAAGAACCTGAGTGGAGAACAAAATAATTCTCATAAAGAGTCGTGTTCAAAAAGGGGCATGAACGAAAATCTCACTAAAATGCTCTAATTAGAGGCTTTAACCTCGTGTACTGGCCTCCAAAACTCTACCAGACATGAAAACGTGATCAATCGGTGACGATTGCTAAATTAGCTGAAACCTCCAAGTATATAAAATCACAGAACTCTTTGTATTCTCAAATATTACTTGCCAGCAAGTTACACTTACAGCCAAATTGAACTAACCTAAAGCTCAAGTGATCACCCTTTAAAGCCAACAACATAAGCTCTAAACATTGCCAACCATTATCTAGAACACACCTTTAAACCCACCTCATATTGATAAAAGTACGTAATAACACACCTTTAAGATGTGTCAAGATGGGATTCGGATCCTCTCCAACACTTTCTTCATACAACCATCATACGACACTTTATCCAAATACCACAAATGATAATGACTAGCTATTGAATTGTGGCATTTGAATCAAGTGTTGAATGATGATTGTATAAAGTAAGTGTTGGAACTGGAAAGGATCTTCCCCCAAGACGTACCCAAAATAAAGGTTCATTTTCCTATGGGGTAGGCAACTAATAGGCATGATAAATTTATGACATCTCTAGAATCCAAAGCGAAATTGAAGTAGGACTTGGAAAATTCAGCCTAAATTGCAGTTTTCACTAGTAAAAGATAAAAGACAATAGTAGAGCAACCCATGCAATCTGCACATGACTCTCACTGAAATATATTTCAGATTGACATTCCTTCCTAATTTTTAATTTAATATATATCTCTACTTTTCAAAAAATGGGAAGATTCCCCAACCCTATCTCATGTTTTGACTCCTCTGCCTTCTAAATTTTATACTATTTTTTACCCATTTATATAAATAGGAGAAAAAGAACTAAAAACACAACAGAGATTGCTCCATACAAGGATTGTAGGCCTTATACTAAAATTTTAATGAACGAAAAATTGAAGACTAGTTGCCTAGTAATACCCAAACTAATCAATGGGAACCATGCAATTGCAGGGAATCACAAGCAAAAAAGAACCCCAACATAAATAATCATCCGTCTCTTTTTAAATCATTCCAAAAGGGAACAGGGATTAGGGATCTTGTCTCTCTTCTTTCATTTGTTTGGGACATGGTAGGCTAAAAAAATTTACAAAGCTTACACTACAGACGATTGGGAAAGGATACTTTGAAGCATATTTCTAATCCCAACTCCATACTTTGAAGCATTCACTCTACATCATATACACAAAAAACACCCACATACATTAATACATGTATTATTGCAGATAGATTGTACCCTTGTGACATTGGATGAGTCCTTGTTTCAACTCAAATATGGGCGGCAAATAAACATGATCAAGTCCAGACCTTGCCCATATTATTGCCATGTATAATAACATTTGCCACATCTGAACCCAATTAGAACCCGTATTTTAGATAGAATTTTCTTATTATTCAAATAGGGAGATCAACAAGTTCCATGAGATCATTTTGAAGAGAAAGTTTGCAAATTTGCATATCAGGTTGAAAATAAGCTAGTCACAGACCTACTTGCCATTACTTCTATCCAGATTTTTGGATGAAACTACAATGTTTAAAATGAAATTTCTATGCAATAATTGTACAATATGGCAAAAAAATAAGTTGATATTTGCTTACCAATTACCCTTGAACTGAGAAGCTGGTCCTCCAGGCTTTCTCTGATCCCACCACTGAAGACTAAACCCCAATCCACCCGTGGCAAACTCCATCGGCGACGCCCACTTCGCCGCTGTATACGACACCAACCCATTGCTATCGAAAAACCGGCGGTGACTCAAATTCGAATTACCAACACTCACCAAATTCACCCTCCCATCTTCCCCAACACTAACACACTCAGACCCATTTTCCTGCACATCAATACACGAAATGGGTCCAACGTGCAATGTCTTCCCAGGCACCGAAACCTCTGATTCGATCAACACATCGACCGGGTCAGCGAGCAGGACATGGAGCGAGCCGGAGAAGGTGGATGCAGCGATGAGGGGTTTGTGGAGGGTTTGAGAGACTTTGAGGGAGGAAATTCTTGAGGGTGAGGACCATGAGGATTGGAGAGTTAGGTTTGAGGGGTTTGATCGGGTTAGAGAGTGGATTTCGATAGCGGAGGAGTAGGAATCGGAGTCGAATACGGCGAGGACGACGAAGCGGTCAACGGCGGAGAGAGGTGGAAGCCAACGGAGGGCATCGATGTATTTGGAGAGTGGGAGTCTATGGATTTGGAGAGTCTCTGGTGTCCCGTTCACCGCCATTGCTAGGGTTTTGTAAGGTTTCTAGACAGTGAACTGTGAAAGTGAGATTTGTGATTGATAGTAGTGCAAGAGCATCTTCACGGTTTTAAATGTTTAATTTTGATTAAACATCAAAATTTCTTCAATCCGGTCATCCACCAACATCTACGATTTTTAATTTTTTAATGAGAAGTTAAATGCACCAAGGATCTTCTAAATTGTTTTTTTGGTAAAATTTCTTAAAATGGTGTATTATGTGATTGAGATTTAATGTTAAAAAATTAACCTTATCATTAAATCTCAACTACACAATGTACCACTTTAAGAAAAAAAACTTTTAAAGGATCCTTGCTCAGTTAAATGTTCCTTTAATATAGAAATGTTTTGAAAAGTAGTTTATAATTCATTTTCTATATTATAATTTACTAATCTCTCTCATAAAAAATTGATTATAATCATATTCTCAAAATAATTCATAATAAATAATAAATAATAAATAATAAATAAAACTCCTTTAATTGATATTAATTTTTTTTATCAAATTTCAAGTTAATAAAAAATTTGAGTCTAGGTTTCGTTTGAGAATAAATTTTTTTAGTAACTTTTTTTACTTTTTGACTAAAATGTGATGTAAAAAAAATTAGTAAGTTTAGGATTACTTTTTGACTTTTTACGAAAAGATGTGCAAAATGTAGAGAGAAAAGGAAATCTTTGACTTTTTGATATGAGTTGTTGACTTTTTAATTTTTTTAGTAACTTTTTTACTAAAAGAAACACTTAAGTGAAGGATAGTCTAATAGAAGGTTTTGGCCTTAGATAATTCAATTTAAGTTATGATGTTCAAATTTAAATATAAATATAAATTTTTTTAAAAGACTTGTAAAATTCATAATTTTGTTTTGTTGATTTAAATCGTTTATTTTATAGAGTTTTAGTGTATTTTACTCAAAAAGATATTAAATTGATCGAATAATTATAACATTTTTATTTTATAATATTTTTGTCTAAAAAATGAAGAAGCATGTTTTTTTAAAATAGACCATCTATTATTATTTTATTTTATTTTTTTGAAATAAATACGATAAAATATAAAATTGTGTTTATTAGATTGACATAATTTTTTTTATAGATGATATATATATATATATATATATATATATAAGACCTTACAAAATAAACGATTTGAATAATTAAAACAAATACAACTGCATGAGCCCTTCGGGCCTAAAAATAAATCCAATAACCTTGCAAGTAGGAAGTGAAGGAGGAACTCAAGGAGAGGATCTTGATTCTATGTAGAGGCTCCTACACGGTTTAATCGTTCGTTTATATCAAATTTGAATAAAAATTAGATTTAATGTTAAATGTTTAATTTTGATTAAACGATTAATCGATAGGAGGATATCCGGACCGTCGTTTAGCTTAATATAATTTTTTTTCAAAATTTTTTCAATCCGGTCATCCACCAACAACCATCTCCGATATTTAATAAAAATTTAAACGTTCCTTTAATATAATAAATAATAAATAAAACTCCTTTAATTGATACCAATTTAGTGAAATAGTTGGAACACCATTTCTACTAAATTTTTATCAAATTTAAATTTAATAAAAAATTTGAGTCTAAGTGACAGATAGTCTAATGGAAGGTTTTGGCCTTAGATAATTCAATTTGAGTTATGATGTTCAAATTTAAATATAAATTTAAGAAAATTTAAAAGACTTGTAAAATTCATAATTTTATTTTGTTGATCTAAATCGTTTATTTTATAAAATTTTAGTGTATTTTACTCAAAAAGAAATTAAATTGATCGAATAATTATGACATTTTTATTTTATAATATTTTTGTCTAAAAAATGAAGAAGCATATTTTTTTTTAAAAATAAACCATCTATTATTATTTATTTATTTATTGAAATAAATACGATAAAATATAAAATTGTGTTTATTAGATTGACATAATTTATTTATTTTTTATAGATGATATATATGAAAGACTTTACAAAATAAACAATTTGGATAATTAAAACGAATACAACTACATGAGCCCTTTAAATTTTATCAAGTTCAACTATGAATATTTAAAAAACAATTTTTCTACATCCACCGAAATTATGCCCACCTGAAATGCTCAAATGAGGTGGACAGTCTTACTCTGCTATTGTTCCATTTGCCTAAAAAATGAGTGAATTTCTCGCGCTAGAAAAAGAAGAGTCACTAAATTAGGGAAAATTATTTGATAATCCCAGAAAATCATGTGATCATATTCTAAACCAATCACCAATTAGTTAATCTTATGTTGTTTTCCTATCTCCAACATAAATCATGGGCCCCTACCTCTCTCTACCAATCAAAATTTTATAGAATACCACATGTTCATACTCCGAAAATACTAAATAATCATCCCTGAATCAAATCTAACCCACACCTCTTTTCTTCTCTCTATTTCCCCTCAAACTGTAAACAAAGCTCTCTCTCTCTCTCTCTCTCACACACACACACACACACAACACTTGCAAATACAAAATTCCAAAAAAAAAATAAAAATACTAATCTTAACATTATTTATGCAATTTCTTACATTATCAAAAACACTAGAACTTTATATTTCTTCATGGGAGTCCAATTAAAAAAGAAAAAGAAAACTGCCCTCCAAGTTGTGTAAACCCAAAGCCCCAACGGCGGCCAAGCTAATGTCGGCATCCCATTTGATTTCCCTCAGCTGTCTGGTCTCAAAATCATGAATCTCTCACTCAACAATTTGAATGACCAAGTGGGTGGTTTAGAGGTTTGATTTTAATGCTTGAAATATCCAAAATTTCATAAATCCACCTCACAAAATTCACCCAAAAAAACACAAACCCATCAAGAAATAAAAATCAAATTAAAAAAAAAAATAAAGCTTTGGTCTTGGGATTGTCCATTTCATCATCATCAACTATTGTTTTGGCCATGGTTGTATGTATTGCATATGTACAGGAAGAGAGAAAAGTCTTAAATGAAAAACAAATGGCTAATCTCTTTACATCCATTCAATTACCCTTCAAGATAGATAAATTAGGGCCCGTTAGTTTCGAGATCGAGTCAGGATTGTCATGGGTTGTGGGTTTTTTATTTATTTATTTTGTGTATGTGTGTGTGTATAGAAGAATGTGTGTGACAATATGTGGAGTTTGTGCCAAAATGGAGGTCTTGTGGATTTCGATCACTAGAGTTTTAAAGAAAGAGAGTGAAAATTGTAACAATTTGTTCTGGGTGACCACTTGAGTGATCGATTAGTTGCTCGAGCGAATATGCGAAACTCTTAGTATGTTGTCTGTTTGCAAGTTAGATCGTTTGAGCTATTTTGTGGTCGCTTGAGCGAAGATATGAGGCTTTTAGTAATTCCACTATAGCTTTACAAAATTTCTGGGACTTTGTGTTTATCGCTCAAGCGGTGTAAAGTTCGCTCGAGCAATCTCTTTGCCTTTGTACACTTCGCTCGAGCGGTCTACTCAAGAGCAGATATTTTGACTCATTTCTCTCACTTTTTTCATCTTTTCTTCTTCTCACTCCTCTTTTTCGAAAACCCTAGTACCAAAACTCTAGATTTCATCTATTTATAGCAAGAATCTATCATTGTTCCTTCATCAAAGGTGTTGATCTTGTTGAAAGCTACATTTTGAACCGATTGGATTGTGATATCTTGGAAGTGCATTCGTTAGGTCTTTGTCTCTACACACATAACATTGAGGTAGGAATATTTTAACCTTGTATATCTATATTTTGGTTTGATTATGTGTTAATTTCATATAATGCATGTGATATGGGATAGGTTATGAGTATTAATGGTGATTGAGGGTTCTTGCTTTAAATTTTTTGAAATAATTGGTTATTGTTTAATGAAAAACAATGTAAATACCATGGATCTTGGAAAATGAAAGAATAGAAGGAAAAGCCCCAATTGCTCGTGAAACCCTAATCATGGTTCATAGGTCTTGGTTGGCAAATAGATGGGAATCAATGGATGAATTGAGAAGGTGTTGAGACATCTTGTGTTGAGACAAGATTAGAATTTTTGGGTAATTAGTTTGATGTGTGATATGGTATTACCCGAGTGGAGAAACTAAGGTGCGCACTTTTCCAATTGTGCGAGGACGGTAAATGTGAGAATGCTTGAGGTGTCCACGTGCCGATCATGTGAAGACGAGGAATGTAGAAGATATGAGGTGCCCATTAGCCATTCGTGTGAGGACAGAGAAATATGGAATTAATTGGAACGATGTACATTGGAATATGAGATTGTGGGGCTAGTGTTCATGAGAAAGGGTTATGGGTTATGCATATTTTAATTCAAATGTTTATATATTTAGTTAAATATATTCTTTACTGGGCAATTGCTCATTCCTATCTAACAAATTTCAAGGCATGGTGAGCAGCAACCACCCCAATGAAGTTAAAGTGGATCAACCTTTTGTTTGAGTAAAAAACACTTTGAATATGTGATATGTTAGTTCAAAGTTTTGTTTTGTTTTGTTTTGTTTTGGGACCAAGAGTCCTTTTTGTTCAATGAAAGCCTTGCCTTAGAGATTGTAAGCCCATAGGGCATTTGTTATACAATTGTCTCTAGCATCTTGAACTGTGAAAATTCAACATGTAATTGTAACTCTCAACTTATAGTTTAATGAGAAAGAGAACCTACGGGACCAACCTAGTAATCATTGTTTGTTATTATATGTATATATGCCATGTTGGACATTGTTTTTTTTTTTTTAATAAGTAATTTGGGGATGTGACATTACACACTTTAAAAGAAAATTTTCCAAATTCTCAATACCAAAACCATTATTGTGTCATTTTGAAGAAAATCCCTCTTTTATACATGAAATCCACATAGAAACAACCCAAAAGTTAACCCAAATCAACCAAAACACTACTCCATTCAAGAGCACATAATGAGGCTAAGAATCATGTAGAAATGTTAAAGAAATCCCTACCTCAAAATCTGAGAAGAGGAAGAACAACCCTCGAAAACCAATGACGCCAAAAACTTGAAATTTTCCAATCAAAATATAGCCCTCAACTTGCTTTACCTTAAAACCTCAAGCACTACAGGTACAAAATGAGTGTAACTAGATGAAAACCAAGAGTTTAGAGCTTGGAGGTCGAAAATGGCAGTTTGGAGAGAGAAACGAGGAAGATGAGCTCAAAAAGTAGATATTTGTAGCTTTTTGGTGGTATACATAGACACATACATCGCGGGCGTAAATAACAGACTGCAGGCATAAAAGACATAGTCACAGCCACGGATGACCATACCACGGGCATGAACCCTTAAGTTGTAGCCTACTATCGAATCACTTTTTGCCCATACAAAGACCTGAAGGACACAATCGGTTACGAGCATGAAACAAAACGTCGCAGGTGCAATATTACCTTTGCGGGCATAGACAGAGCTACTTGTAAAAGTACTAGAAAGTGTTTTTCTTCGTGCCCTAGTCGTGTCCCCTCGCGGGGGCATCCTAGCACCATCAAGGGCGTGAACAAGACTGTCGCAGGTGCGACCTAAACAAACAAGAAAGGATTCTGCCAACCTGTTGAGTATAAAATAGGGTCCTCGGAGGCAACCAAACCCAAGAAAGAGACAAACCAAAACCCCAAAGTAGCCACAATACACTAGCAATAGTACAAAAGTATTGGGTATTAACACAAGCCACTATAATGTTCCATAGTGATTGTCAAGGACATGCCATAAAAGTTCAACACAGCATATGCCATGTTACTACCTCTATGATCACTAAGAATACAATCTTCACCAATCGAACCTGGATTGCCTCCGGAGGCATCATCAGAATTCAACTTGATGGAATTTGACAATCTCATGTTATAATTCAGGTCTAGACGGGCCTGGGTAGGTCTCAGCACAACTTGAGCTGGGCTTGGACAACCTCCCAACCTGATCGAACCCGCCCGAGTTACACCCCTACCTTGAATGTGTCCACCCGGATAAAATTGAAGATTTTTTGGCCGAGATCCATGAAGACAATTGTGGCGCTCATTCGAGAGGAAGATCATTGGCTCATCGAGCCATCACTCAAGGGTATTGGTGGCTGACTATGCGAACTGATGTCGAGAAGTATGCAAAGAAATGCAAGCAGTGCCAAAAATTCTCCCCTTTAACACATCTGCCCGAAGAAAAATTAAATTATGTGACTAGTCCATGACCCTTCACTCAATGGGGGCTAGGCATCGTCGGGCCATTGCTAAAGGCTCCTGGTAACAAATGATTCTTGATAGTCGCTACTAACTACTTCACGAAATGGGTGGAGGCCGAACCATTGACACATGTAAGGGACACCGATGTCAAACGTTTTGTATGGAAGAATATTATCACCCGGTTCAGTATACCCAAGGCACTTATCTCCGACAATGACACTCAATTCGATTGCGGAGTTTATCGAGAGTTGTGCAATATGTATAGAATTCGACCCTACTTCTCGTCACCCGTTTACCCTCAAAGTAACGGCCAGGCCCAAGCCTCCAATAAAGTAGTCCTGGATGGTATCAAAAAGCACTTGGAGAAAGCTAAAGGCAAATGGCTCGAAGAATTGCCGAGTGTATTGTGGGCTCATCGAACTAAGCCATGGCGATCCACTAGAGAAACGTCGTTTGCTCTATGCTTTGGAACCCAGGCGATCATACCCCTGGAGATCGGCCACCCAACCCTGAAATCGCTTCTTATTTCTGTAGAAGACTATTGTTTTATCAATACTGGGTTTGGGTTTTCAAAGCTTGTTTATATCGAAATACTCATCTGGGTTTTATTCTCTATCAATAAAACAATTTATTCTCTATCAAATTTCCCAATATATTCCTTGTAATTTAATTAAATTAATTATTATTATTATTATTATTTTGGGTTTCTCTGTTATTTACATATAATTCTTAGAATTTCAATGGTATGGTATGTTTAACAGAGGTGCATAATGGCCAATGGGAGATTAGGACAATGGTTGCAAATGCTAGTTTGTGTACTAATATTGCTCAAAACAGAAGGCTTCTATGTTGGCATAACTTATGTTCAGAATGCTGTTGCAAAAGGAGCAGGTTAAAATCTTCTTCATAATAAGCCAATTTAAATTTTTTTTACAATCTTGACTATAATGTGTTTGGGATTCTGATATTGTGCAGTTTGTTTGGATGGGTCTCCCCCGGCTTACCATCTTGATAAGGGGTTTGGAGCAGGAATTAACAATTGGTTGGTTCATTTTGAGGTTGGTCCTTCATTTACCATTTTGTTTTACAATACAAAAATGATTTGTTTGTTGTTAAGAAGATGATTGAAAAGAAAAATAAGAATTGTGAAATCATATAAGATACTGTAGCACGTCCCGTGAGGGGGGCCTTCGTTACTACAGTTCGGACTCGCGATTTTGTTGTCGCGGTTCTTAATCTGAACCAAAGAGTCCAAATCTAGCAAATCGTTTTGAGAAAACAGATTTTTGAAAAAGTAGTGCCAAACATGGACTGCTTTGCCAGATACAGAGTCGCCACCTAAATATTTTTTAATGGGGAAATTTAGGAAACCCTGACTCGGTGCCGAAGGCCACATGTCCGTCATCACCGGAGTTGTCTCGGCTCGGGAGCTTGGGTACGATCGGGGAAGGGCAGCTATGAGCACCCCCTTTCGCCCGGTCCGAAGACCGGCCTCTACTAACCGTGATATCCGTTTTTGAAAACTTTATGTGTTCTTATTCCAGTTGTTAGCCTAGAATTACTATGTTATGGCACAGCAAACAAGTATAGACTAGATCGCCTAATTTGGAAATAAGCATTGCATATCCGTTTGTTTCGAAAAGCGTTTCGGATTTTGCTACTCGCAAGTAGGCTAAAACACGGATTTCAACGAGTTTTCCCAACTCAAACAACCCAACCTTCACCCACAGGCATTAAAACAGTTTAACACATAAGCATTTAGCCACATGGTAAACATGCTGTCATGATAGCATTCACACGCATGCGAGATGCTAAAGCAGGAAAATACTTACATCGTACTCCGTGCCAAAACAATAAACTAGTTAGCAAACATGCATGTCCTAGTTCATGTCAATTTGACTAATGCAACACATACAGGATGCAACTAGATAGGCTCGGCTAATCCTAAACATGGCATGTGAAATGCGATCAATCGATGCACGTATTCAATTTGGAATTGAAGTACAAATGCAGTTAGCGTGATGTACCGAGTCTAGTGCATGCAATACAAATACATGAATGCACGCATGCATAGCATAAG